GGCGACGTGTGTCCGATGCCTAAACTTTGCCTTGTGCCAATATGTATGCCGCCAGTTTGGAGTTGGGGTGGCCCATGTGGTTTGGAGTATTGGGCCGTTGATATCTGAACAATGACACCATTTCGCGCATCATATTCCTTTTCCTGAACGTCGCGATGGTCTCGTTCTGTGTGTTTTCACTCTGTATGATATGTGTATATACAGACTATGTGTCTTGGAAGTTGTATAAACACGTACTAGGGTGCCCGCTTATGATTGGACTCGAGTTGTTTCTTGACTCGATGACAGCCCGCACTTGCATTGCAAATGTAGGTACCTATCTCGCGGATAGACCCCGGCTCATTCCCGATGCCTTGGATACTTCCAATGAACCACCAATTGCCGATTTGCAGGGGCATGGACAAGTGTGCGAAGTAAACCTGGGCTTGTTCCAGTAGAACGGACAGGCTGTGACCGAAGACACCGTAACGGGCCCGTTTGATGCAACCCTCTTGTGTTGGCTGCATGGTGAGGCTGTTTGTTGTCCCCAAAGCTGTGATCACAGGGCGTTCCGAGGGAGTTGGTTCTGGCGGACTTTTGGCCTGTGTCTGCAACTCTCTTTGGTTGCTGGAGCTCCAACAGCTGTTTCGCAACCGACGAAGAGTGCTTTCAGAATATCCATGCTGCCATTCGTGGCTCATACATAGTCCCCAGACAGGCCCTGGTAACCGGGGCGGGGAAGCGGTTATGAGCCCGGTTGACTCTCCTGGGCTGGATCTGGACCAACGGAGGAAGAAAACGAGGTATTTTTCCTGCATACGTACATACAATATGCACTGCTCCGGAGGCCTCGCGTACGTCTGCTGGGCAGCATCGAGGTCAACATCAACACGCGGATGCTAGTGCAGACATGCAGACATGCAGGCCTGCGTGGCTTGTATGTGTAGTCTGTGGGTGTTGAATCACCGTCAGGGTCCCCAGTAGCATTGTTTTTGGGCCTGATCTAGTTCAATTGAAGGCATGATGCATTGTAAAAGGGCTTTTGGGATGCATGTCGAAGACTGCACCGATTTTCCTGGTCCCAGAGAGTGATGGGGGCGGAAGAGGTGCAAAGGTGGAGAGGTGCAGAAATGCGATGGAAAGAGATGGCACTTGGAGCCATGGATGAGAAGGCGGAGCAAAACAGGGAAGGAGCGATGGTCGAATCAGCAAAGACATCGGATCGTGCAAATCCTGATTCCTCGCAGCATACAGAGTACTCTGCAACCTCTGGCAGTTGAGTATCTACTTCGCATCGTAGATGGAAGTAGCGGCATCATTTTGGAACATTTGATCCTTGCAATACGGACCAAGCTCGCTCGTCACCATCATCGTCATCGCTACTGTCCCACCCCACGACGGTGTGTATGATCCGGAGTATACTCCGCCGACACTGACAAACTGGATATGCAATAGCATCATCTTTTCGTCGAGATTCATATTTCTCGGCCAAATAAGGTTCGTGCAGCGAGTATCCCTCCTGGACAATTCATCTGACACTTGGGCCAGGCACTTGAGATTTGGCCCCCCTATTCCAAAGTATGATTAATTGAGACCTCTGGTTGTTATCATCCTCGCCATATCTTCTTTCCTATGAAAGGCATGCTGCCTGATATATACTTGTTGGTCCGTTTCGGTCTTGCTTGCCTGAACCCAAAACGCTTAATATTGCCGGCACCTATTTGGCCCATGCGCATATCGAAGAGGCTCCTCATGGTACTCTTGGAGAGACTGCAGAGTACTCCGTATATTCGTCATCATTTGGTATGCCGCCCTCGGTATGCGGCCATCATCACAATCACAACCATCTGACAACGCAGAAGTATTCTGTTCGAAACCTAGTATCAATGCGAGCTACTCTGGGGATCAGTTGACATCATCTATTCATTGGCTGTACTCGTGAATACAACTCTGTCTACACATCGTGTAGACTCGGTAGTCCTCTCAGAACCGTCTGCTTCGATCTCACTGTGGGAATTGCCCCATCACATTACATAAATGGTCCCTGGACATTAGCATCCGACGCTTGGTCGTCAACTGCCTTTTCTTCAGGCCTGGTTTGGCGTCTCTTATCAAACGCGGAAACAACTGCTCAGTGAAATCTGTACATGATTCGACTCCGAGCCCAAAGAGCATCACTGCCAATTACATACACAGCGAATAGTCCAAGTCCACGTTATGGTCAACCGGCTGGACATTCTTCGCCCTCGCTCGCTCAAGAGACAGTTGTATTTCCCACAGATGTGTTGTTCATGGCATAACTATCCCGCACGGAAAGGCCCTCCACCAAGTTGCATTTATCTGGACATTTGCCGTTGATGTTGGTGCTGCCGGTGGTCGCCGGCAGTTGGCATTGGCAAGTCGGGATCAAATGTATACGGGACCATCGCCATTCGAGACTTCTTAATGATGGCAGGGTGTACTCCGTATTGTAAGTCGTAAGGAGCACCAACAGTCTTTATCAGCATGGAATATCACTGGCCAATTCTTCCATCGACGGGCGTTGCGGCCGCTTGCCGCCTCTCGCCAGCAGGACGCCAACAGGAAGCCACCCACGCCACTCGACGTCGTCTTGGTCGTCCCTTTCGCAATGCGCGCCTTGTCCCCATGTCCGCTAGCCGTTGCTCCCAAAACAGATGGATCTCCAAGCAGCTCCAGCTCCAGCTCCAGCTCTCCCGAGGCGCTTGTCTTACCGCACCCCCTCCGCCTTCGCGGTGCTGCACCCTCGCCCCATCCTCTCCTCCATTCCTAGGTAGGCTTAAGCGTCTTAGACAGATGTGGCCAGGGCTGTTGACAGGGTCCTTGCCGCATACCCTGTCCAGGTGTCCGTCCTCCCCTCGCCCTACACCCCAAAGGAATGCTTCTCTCGACTGGCTCGTCCCGCACCACACCACCTCCCTGAGCTATAGTACACAGACCTTGGCGGTGCGGTGCGATGCCGTTCAGATGCCGTTACTGGATGCTGGTCAAGCTTGCGCCATTCAGAGCTCACTCCTGTTTTCCGGTCCTGTGGAAGTAGCCCTGTTCAAGGTGGCTCTCCTTGTCTGTGCCAGGACCGTAATACATACATGATGTATACGGGGTACGGAGTACACTTCACTGTGCTCTGTACTCCGTATGAAGCACAGTACTGGACATGTATTCGCTCTCAGCACCTCCACCAGGCCAGCATAACAGGGGTTCGCTACCTGTGGGAACCTGGCACCCATCATACTTTGAGTACGTTATTGGCCCTAGCCGTGATCACAACCCAAGGGTGCCACCCACTCTCATTCTCTTTCCCTAGCTTGCCAGGCTAGTTGTTCAGAACGAAGAAAGATCGTTCCAGCTCTAGGTGTCGTGTACCAGTTGGCTACCCTCCAGCTGTCCCCCCCCCGGTTTAGCTATATTGAACGCACAAGGGTTGGTCGGTGCCACTGCTTCACTCTATCGTTCTCCCTCCGAATTTCTCCCCAACTTACTCCGTATTCCTCTGCCATATCGAATTCTTTGCTGAGCTTGTTGCGGAAAACATCTAGCTCCTTGCCCACCAGTGGCGGACCTCCTCGCTCCCAAGTTGTCCGTAGTTGGCCTTGACCGAGGCATTGTGACGGAAACTGTCAGTCAGAGTTGCTTGTGAGTAGGAGAGCAGAGACATTTTCCAGTGCGGGGGGTCTCATCATTATTCATTGCACACTCCCAGCTCAGAACCAACCCAAATTGTACGAATACCGGCTCTCCGGTGCTAACCCACCCTTCTGCCACCCATCTCATTATCAGCCATTCCACCCAAGCTTTGCTCGACTCTCTTTCCTCTCCCTTTCTTACTTATTTCACTTAACCGTCTTGGTCGAGCCCGTACTGCTCTGTTTACCTGGTCCTCACATTCAACAAGCAGGATCCGCCAACCACAAGTCCTTATCAAACGACCTGGATATTCATGTCACATCAACTACGTACGGAGCTTTTGTCACTTGGCCGAGGGCTACCTCTTTCTCACGAGCGTTCTATCTAAACACAAGGAGCTCTTGGAACTCCTTCCTATCTGCGCCACATAGAGCCTCAGATTGTGATAGTGACTGCATCGACATCGTGAACCCCGACCTGCAGGTCAGCTCACACCGACTACTCAATTCGAAACCCTTGCTGCCATTTGTTCTACAGGCTTTGTTCACACAAACGGCAAAGATTGTCTTATACGAGTCTTTCTGATCATCCGGATCACGCCTAGAGTGCCGCTCTTCGGACAAGTCGCCATTTCTGATCAGACTGAGGATCATACCCAGACGCAACCTCCAGGTCCCTCTACATCGCCAGGTTTCAAACGACCATGAAATATTGAAGCCGTCATATTCGAGCGAGGCAGTCGTTCTATAACTCGAGACAATAGTTGTTTTCAGACAACAGACTCTGTGGTATTAGCCACGATCAAAATTGTCTTCACCCAGCATTGCCCAGACAGAACAACGACCCATCCAACACTCAATACTGCCAGCTTCTTTGGTACTCTCACTGGCATTCGTTTCGAGTTAATTCTTGTCAAATGTTACACGACATTTACTGAACACGACTGGCATCCTTGGTCGTCGACACGACAAATACTTCAATCACATTGAGCTTAGGACCCGAACATCAAGCCAACATTTGCACGACATGCGATAAATGGGTCTGCCAGTACCCCGTCCAATTATTGTGAATTCTCAAAGACACTAAGCTCTTCGAACTTCTTGTCGGTTTCGGGATACAATTGACAACCATCCCTCGCGCCCCGGATTGTTCTCTGTCCTTGTTGCACCAAACATGTAAGGCGAACACTGTTCGACGTGTCGTAACTACATTCATCGTCGCGCCGCTGACTCCTTAACGTAGATTAGCTATTTACCAGTTACTCCTCTGGTTTATCGCTGACGTGCCAGGGCTGACTGATTTGTTGTGTTGTGACGAATGCTCAGTTTTATTGACGGCTCAAGTAGTCCTGCCTGACTTCTATTCACTACCCAACAATGGTTCGACCCTTCCCGCGGGACGAGTTCCCACGCCAGCCGTCGTTCCAGCAATGTTTTCCTCCCACCACAAGGCACGCCTCATTCTCGCAGGAGAGATATGTTACCGATGCAGTACAACGACCTGATTCTTTCCCCCAAGATCGCTACGGCGTCGATCCAGGGGACAGTCGCTATCAAGAGGCGTATGACTTGCACCGTCGCCACCCCCCAATGGTGAGGCCCGTGTAGAATATTCCTTGGAGTCGTGAACAGAACTAACATGACGACTTGAACCCGTACAGGAAATCCCCGAGGCGCTCCGTTCACATTGTGGGATTGCTGGAAAGCAGTACTTCGTTGCCGTTATGAGTGAAGATGGAAAGCCGATGACCTTTCTCAGTCCATCTCAGAAGCTGCACGACATCACGATTCGCCAGTTTTTTGATGTTGGCAAATTTCAGCAGGTCATGGCTCGAGTTGATTCTGGTAAGATCGAAACATATGCAACCCGGCAAAAGTTGGGGGATGCGCTACACTGGTTTGATGCTGATCATACACCACTCTGTTTCTGTAGGCGCTGATCCCATATTGGATGATGGACTGCCATTCGAGGATGCCTCTTTTAGCAGAAGTAGTAGTTTTGGGCGTATGCGACCCTCGGATCGACGTCGCAGCTCTATTTTTGATGATTGGGAAGGCCCTACTCGATCTGGACGCAAACGACCTCGACCCCGCCACCCAATCAACGAAGACGACGATGTGCCGATGACGGTGTCATCTCGAAAAGGCATCAAAGTTGGTGATGGCGATGCAGTATGGAACTTCTACGAACAACGTTTCAAGAACTGTCAGCAGACTGCGTGCAAGTTGATAGCCAAGGCATGGGTTAAGGCTGTAGAGCCCAAGAAACAATCAACACATCCATATACGGGCAGTGACGAAAAGGCTCCAGATTGGTGGCCAAAGCCATGGGGCCCTACAAAAGACGACAAGGTCAGGCACAAGGAACCAGATCATTTATATAAACGAGGTGTGTTTTTAGTTTGTCCTCGACCAGCGAGGCGAAGTTCATGAAAAGCTCACATGGCTATAGAACGAGTCCATCTACTGGCTCATATATTGAGGCTTGTGATTGAGCCCAACAGCAAACAGCACAACGATATACAGAAACTTGGCCTCAATGTGAAGAAGCTAGAAGAAACAACTTATGAAGCCCTATCCTCGTTCTTCATGGACAATGACACAAACGCCAAGAAACGACCGTATTTAAGTGAGATTTTCAAGATGGCCAGGCAAGAAGAACGTTTCAAGAACGGCGAGATTGGTAAGTCCATTAACAGTACCCATAGCGCTATGAACAGTTCTAGTTGTCATGATATTGAGCATTAACATGATGCACTAGACGGATCCACTGAAGTCTATGTGATGGCGGAAGATAAGCTTCCTGAGAACTATGCCTCCGAGAACGAGGACGGAATTTTTCCCAAGGATGAGGAGGATCATGAATTGCAACGTCCCAAGGTCAACACGCAGCATCACTGCGTGATCCCAACGCCAACGACTGGTCCTGGCTCAGCACAAACATTGCACGGTGGTCATGGCCCGTTCATCGGTGAGCTACCCGTCCGAGGACATTCCTTCAATCCCAGCATGTTACCCGCAGACATATCGTCTCAGCCACACACCTTCGTGGACAGCAACGGCATCACGGTCACAGATCAAACCTCAGTCACTGCCCCTAGCGGGCCCTTGGGCTTGGACATGGTAACCAGTCCCCACGATACCAGCCGACGCCCCTCAGTATTCAGCGAGTACGCTAGCCCAGGAGGTAGCAACATGTATGCTCAGCAATGGCAACAACCTGGGTCAACTGGGCCAGGGCAATCATCAATGTATGCATACACCCCTACTCAGGGCAATCCTCAGCAACCCCCCTTTATAGGCCAGGGAGTTCCCATGAATGCCAGTACGCCATTTATGGGGGGCACGTTTGAAGGATCTCCACGGCCAGAGTATGAGGCAAATGGGCCTCCGATCTTCCGGACAGGAGATATGCCTCATGCCCCGGTTAATCAATCCCAAGGGTACTATGTTCCCAACGACAGCAGAAGCGGGCTACGAGTCATCACCCAAGTGGTAGACGGTGTTGCCAGAAACCAAATGCAATAACAGGAGCAAGAGATGGCAGCTTCATACCACTACGTCAAAGACACCAGGCATATACACTACGACGAACACAATAAAACAAGATGTGACAAAAAGAGTTTCGTTGAGCGCAATCATGAAGCGATTTCCCTTTTATTAGGCATCCTACTACAGCAATTGCACCCCACCCCAAGCAAGATAATTTTGCAGGGGAAGTACTACTATTGCATAAAGCAGCCCATCTAGTACGTGGACCGGGGAGAGAGAGGGTTGGGCCGGCATGTTTCAAGCCAGAGGATTGCTTACTACCACTCCCATTATCCCTTGGTGAGCAAGGCCTACCTCAGGATATTGCCCGGCGCTTTTCGAGGAATATGGATCTTTGTTACTGGAGTAACGTGGTTTGACAGCAAATGCTCTAATGCCTTCGATTGGGTACGGTGTGTTGATACGGGCGGGGCTGTGATATACCAAAAGAAAAGCGATTGGCGGTAGGCATTTTGATCATTTGGTTTTAATTTTGAATATTGCACAATTTTATTTTTACTTCCTGGGAAGAAGAGAATCCACAGCAGCGCAATTGGCGTCTTTGTTGTCTTCGACTATGGCGTTTAAATGGATATATGACTCTGTTTCGGATGGATATTGGGCTCAGACACGTTTGCTACACGGTAATGATTTACCTGTTGGTTTCGCCTTGATGACTTGGCACGAGGAGAAAAGGGCGGCGAAGCTAGTTGCCAATAGCATCCGTTCCGAAGACGGAGGGACGTGGCAGTCTGTTTAGCGCATCAGGCGGTTCCTTCTCCGGCGCAGCGTGTTTAGCAATCGTGTTTGATTCCTTTGCGTCTACGACTCGTGGCGTTTGTTGTTGGAGAAGATTGTAAGCGTTTCTTGCAGCTATCAAGTGTCTGGATAGAGGCCAACAAAGGGCAAGTGCCTGGCGAGTACGTGTACGAGGCGCGACTTTGATGATGCTCCGTCGCCAGGAACTGATTGCCATGGTTTCTATGATTCCAAGACAGAATGCAGTTCCAATACATTTCATGGGCCTGTGCATAGCCCTGACTTGAACGTTGCATGGTCCTCAGTTGGAACTTGAGGTACATTACCCCCTTTTTTGTTCATTGTCTTTTACTGTTGCATATATGTGGTACGGTGTTATTGAGGGTGAAGTGTTTTTTTTTTTTGGTTTCTTGCGGGCATTTCTTACGCTATTACGACTGAACGTCCTACTGTTTTATGTTTACTTGAGGCGCACCGGGACTTGGAGCTTAGCGCGATACCTTGGGAGACCCTTGGGAAACAAAGGGGTGTGCAAATACAACTAGATTGGAAGCTGTGAAGTCAACAAGACCTATACGGCGGGGGGGGGTTAATCAGGGTTGGGATGGCACAGGCGTGTCCCAAGGCAGAGAGTCTCGGACCAGAGGCGCGAGACTTGGATTACTTTCGGATGAGCCGAGCTGAAGGTGAAGGATGAAGGACGAAGGCGAATATACAGTGCTCCGTATTTATGCCACGAGAAGAGATGAGATGAGACAATGATGCACCTTTCCGTTTCCCGACCAGTCAGCACGAGGGTCCGGGTTGGCTCGGACCAAGCCGAGCTGTTCGGGCGTTGGCGAGAGTGGCGGAAGAACGAGACTAGGATAGGACTTAATGGTGAGCACTGACGCTGTTACTGCAGAGCAAGGCCGAAATTCTGTGATTTCCTGTGATGATGGCTTCAGGGGGCGTGACTCCGGGAGCGAGCGAGCGAGTGAGGACAAGGCGGCAAAGCAAGGCAGTATACAATATACAATATATACCGCACCGCTGTACAAGGTGAGATTTCAGACGGATCAGACACACAGGGCACGTACAATGACAGCAAGGCGATGCTGTGCGAGTTATCCTCGTTCATCCAAACACGGAGTAGGACCGGGTAATAAAGTGTGCAGGGAGAGAAACATGGAAATCGAAGGAGGAAGATTGTGGTCCACCACTACCATCTCAGCAACGACAAGCAATAGCCAAGTCTTTCCATTCTACACGTCCCATGGGCCAACGTGCTCATTGACGTGTCACCGATGGGAAAATGCACATGTTGGTCGAGGCGGAGCAGAGTCCGAAACGACAATGAACAAGCCGCGGCCTCAGCGTCTATACGGTCCCAAGTATACTACGGAGTACGGACAACGGCAGCGTGGATGAGAAAGCACCGGGACGATCCGGATATGATTCATGTACCTGCGTTTATTGCAGCAGAACCAGCTCCAGGTACTGGTACGCGTATTGGGAGTACGGAGCATATAATCTACAACTACCTCGGGCAGGTACATACATTACCAAGAAGAATGCACAAAACAAGCCCTACCAGCCTTCCTTGTCGGGTCAAAGATTGGTCAACGGCAGAAACCTGACACGGCTAGAGGCCCAGAGGACCCAGTTCGTGACAGCAGTCGGCCTTGCACGGAGTACGGACTCTGGCGTTGTCCGACGACGAACAAAACAACGACCCGGGAGCGCTAAATAAAATGAGGGAGAGGAGAACCCCGGATCCCCGCGACAGCCGCCGCAGGATCGCCCTTCTGGCACGGGCGCGGCGCGCGGACAATGTGCAGGCTGAGCGGCTGATTCCTCGACATGCTCGGCCGTTGTGAAGCCCAGCGGCGGCGAGGGCCTCGCAGATGGTCCGCCTGCGGTCTGAAACCCTGCAAACCTGCAGCTTTGCTTGGTTGGCCGATAGGGCATTGGGATTCGATTGGGGAGACGTAGGGAGGCGCATTCGGGGGAAAGGGGGGGGGGGATGTGCTGCGCAGCTTGGGAGCTTTTTTTTGTAAATCTTTTTGGCTGGGGGGTTAATTAAGGAGTGTTTTTGCTTTTTGGCCGGATACGGAGCACGTATAAAGGACCAAAGGACAAAATGGTGAGACAGTGTGGCGAGGGGGCGTCTTGATAGACGCATGGTGTTGACGCAGGGCAGTGATTTGCCACGGGCTGCGCAGAAGCTTTTCTGGACCTGGAAAACTGCCCATGAACATTTGAAATTACCTACACTGTGTGTCTTTCGAGGGACAGGGTTTCTCTCGCCTCGATACAGGACGATGACCCAACAAGGCAAACAAAGGTCCGGTTTCAACGGTGAACCCTGGGAGCAACGTGTTTCTGGCCGGAACCAAAGTCCGCTGCTCTCCCAACAGAGAAGCACGTTCGTTGGTGCATCTCCATTGGCCTCCCCTGCCACCCCCGGGGATTTCGAGGGCAAGGTTCAAGGATGGAGCATCGAGATTCTGCTTCTTGTCGGCCGGAAACCTTTCTGGCCCACCCCTGAGCACATATATATCATGGTTGACGTTGCCAAGTCTGTGCGGTGGCAAGGCTGGACTTGACTTTCCTTTTGGAAGGACAAGGACAACGACCATGACGACTTAGTTATTCGTACCGAGTCGCTGGGGGCGGTTTGGTTCCGCCCATGCAGGGCAGACAGACATGCTCAGACGCCGTGATGCGCCAAGAGATGCTCGTCTTCTTTGTCGTGTACCTACATTCATCTCGTCCCTCCAACAGACCAATGCCACACACACCCCCCTCCGGCCTGCAACCCAACCGCACGTACAATCCGCGTGGTACGTGCGACCGACATGCTCGAGTCCTGCTGCATTTGCCATACGACCGGCATCAAAGCTTGTCCTGCTGTGTAGCGTGGCCGGACAGGATCCGCGCCTATAGAGCGGCGCCAGTGACACACATGGCTCTCGCTGCCAGGCCGACGACTCTGTACAGTGTAGACCATCTGCCGAGCATGTACGGAGTACAGAAATGCAGTCGTGCTCTGCCGCTTGCGCAATTCGGCAGCAAATGCCGTGCGACAGGGCAACGTAGTCGCCAGCAGTTTGCCGTGGCATGAGTCGCGCCCCATGTATATACTTGTGCGTCACCGTCTCACAAGAGGTCCCAAAGCAAGCACGGGAGAAAAAAACGTAACCGGGCTTCACGGTCCTCCACGGTATGTGACATGCGTCCCCTTTTCCCCCGTCGATCCACAGAAACGATTTCAAACTGCGGGAGCGCGGGACTGTTCTTGGCACGTATCGTCAGTGTAACTATCCATCGCGCCTTGGGTCGACCTCCGATTGAGTTTGGCTAGTCGTTGTTTTTTTGTTTTTGTTTTTTTTTGCCTAAAGGGATCATGAGGGCCACATGAGAAGATTGCTTGTATGTAATATACTCCATACACCTCACTGTGCACCTTGCGATTGGACAACAACGGTTGCCAAATAGTACACTATTCCTATACGACGAGGCGTCTGCCTGGGCGGCCAGGTTTTGCGACGACCGCACGGCCGCTGGCACTAAGCAATAGTCGTGACACAGAGTTGTAATGCCATTTCATTCACATGCCAAGTGAGAAGACAAGCGCCCCGAGTCGGCAAGAGTTGGCGCCGTTGTGAGCAACGGAAACCAACTCGCTCCTTCTCCGGCTAAAGTCCAACCGTGGACCACTAGCGCGCGTCAACGAATAGGTGACGAGCTTGCGAGTTGATTGGCCGGAAAGAGTCCTGGATAAAATGGCAACCCGAGCTAGTCAATAGTGTCACGAATCATTCAGCTCTCAAATCCGCCCAGAGACGTGATTGGCAGGGAAACAAGCTATAGCAACATCGAGCATCAACTCGGAGTCTCGGACAAAGTCCAAGGTTTTGCCGAAAACGGGGAGAGGTACTAGCCGCGGTTTTTTTTGCCAAAGAGGGAAAATGTGACAGAGCTTCACGCCGCAGCTGCGGCACATCCCATCTCTTCGTCTTCATGTCAGATTAGATTTAGGCTACCATTTGGGTTTGCCCGCCTTCCGCCACGGGCGGAGCTAATCCCGCCACAGCTCGACTTTGGATTCTTGGCCGGGCATCCCATCTGCCGAGGCCCGTTGCACGGATCCTGGCTGACGCTACAAAGACCGCGGGATCTGAGGCGGCGCCGAGGGGGGAGCCGCCAATCTTCAAAAACACCAAAATGGACATTCCAAAAGCTTCAGAGTGCATGAACCCTTAGTCCCAGAGAGTTGCTAATCGAGTTCCCGAGGGAACGGGCACCCGGGATTCGTGGCGTGTCGCCGCGCACGACATGTGCCCTCCTTGCTGGCAGGCGCCTCTCGTCATATATGATACGTGATACGGCGTACATGGTGGTTGATTTGCGAGTGTACCGAGTAAAGACCCAAAGTCTCATCTACGACACTTGTCTTTCATCTGAGACGATGCCGCGTCCGTACATGTCGGAACGGAGGGGGGGGGGCGCGCAACGCCGGGGAGTCGGGGCAATTGCCTCGCAGACGGGGACATCTGTGCCGATCCTTGGGCATGGAGCATTCTTGTGGAACTCTGGGAGGAGGCTGGAATGCGCATGCCGTCATCTTCATCCCCGGCCCTGCTGAATACTTGCAAGGCGCGATGCCGGCTGTGTTTTCTGGCATTGGCGGGCTTTTTGACACAGGACGCTTTGTCGACTATCAAACATGACTGTCGATCCCCGTCCTGGTGCATGCTTCCTCCGTGACTACTACCATGGGAACATTGTCGAACGTGGCACACTCTTTCCAAGTGTAATGCGTAGCATCTCGTTTCAGAATGGACAAGATGGTGAGAACCCTACGATTAGGACGGGCAGTGAAGGCTTGAAGTTACGTCCTTGGTTTGTCAGGCCACGCGCCCTGTCACTGTTATCCTCCGTTATGTGATGCCCAAATAGAAAGTGAATGGTCATAAATACTGACAAATTGTACAAGACCGGTGCTGTATTCCGCCGCATCGAGTCCAATCTCGAAACTCGAAACTCGCAAGCCACTATTGTTCGTCGTCGCCGTCACCACCATCAGTCTGGCCTCCTCCAAGTACACAGAACGCTCCCCCCGAGCAACGATTATAACAAGTAGTGTCGACATCTCATAATACGGAAATCAAACTCCGAGTTGTAATTTACATTCGTTCAAGTCTCCCCAGCTCGTGTCAAGTGCGGAATACTCGTGCGCGTATACACTATATCCTCTCCAAACAGACATTGCTCGGAATTAGAAAAGATGAAATGTACTCCAATATGTCGTTTTGCCAAGACCACGCTCGAATTTACACATCAAGTATCCAAGCCAAGCAACTCGCATATTTCATACAAACTCTCCAACTTGCAATTGTTAAGTGAAAGTTGCTGTTTGCGGTGAGTCTTTCCACTCCAAGTCTGCATCTACCCGTTGTCCTTGTGCCTTTCGGAACCATTGTATCATATTGCCTGTTACAGAATTTGAAAGACGGTCAGGATTGCACCACCGCCATAGAAAGGAGCCTGTGAAAAAAAGAGACAACCACCGCCGACATCCTCACAGACTCAACGCATCCATTACAAGTAGTCTGCGCCTTCTCTGATCGACACCGCATCATTCCATCTACCCTCATAAAATGAACGAGGCCCCGTCGGGATTGAACTTCTCCTGTTCACCTGCTGAATTCCTCGCGGCACAAGTGCAGGTCAAGTCACCATTTGCACCAACTATTCTGTCCTTGCATCTTTCAACTCCTTGATTAGATTACACTCGAAGCGTGGAACCCCAGAAAAACACCCATTGTGCTTGCGATCAAGGGCCGAAAATAAAGCCCAATCCGACCATCTCCTCCAAAGCTTAGTCGCGCGTGGCTGTATCATCACGAAGTTATCTCGTGTCTGTAGTCAACACCCCGCTGGAGAGTACGTAAACAAGCATACAGAACAGCAGTCCACGGAAGAGAGCCGCCATTCCAAGTCGCCAACGAGCTTCTTGGCGGCAACGTCCTGAATCTGGAAAGACTCACATCGGCACCATTCTGCCCGCGGACACGAGCACTTTCGCTCCTCGCCCGGCGCGGCTTCACATGCAAAGACAACAAAAGCGACAGCAAATAGCACAATTGTGTCCAGGGTCCGCCGCAAGAGTCGACCGAGGAAACTTGGACGTAGGCTGGTCTGTGAATGGCACGCCTATTCTTCCGAAAACTAAGCAATGGGCTACTTTGCCGCGATTTTGGTGGGACGCCATCAAGCGGTGTTTCACTACGTGTTGCGGAGACAGCCTAGAGCTTGAAGGCTTGGTATCAGACCTCGCTCGGAGAAGCGAATTCTCAAAATCTAGGGAAATCGTTCCTGTTGTTGCGGTTGCCGCCCCAATCGTCGCATAACATCGTTCAACTCTACGAAGACGGTATGGCAAAAACGCATACTTGCCGCTGACTCGGCTTGAATAGACTGCGGGGAACGCTGAGAAGGCCTGTTGCTCTGCTCATTGTCAGTTCACATCACCGTTGTTGCCCAGGCCTGATTTTTTGTCTGAATGTGCATTGCGAGAGAGCCGTCGCCAGCCACGAGACGTACGGGCACTTTGGTACTCAGTCGTCCAACGAAATGGGAAGCAAACATTAGCAGCCATTGCAAAACAAGACAGGTCGGCCTGATTTCGAGATGCTTGCACCAAGCCTATGCCACGAGGTGCTCGCCCCGAAAGGAGCCATTTCAGGAATCAAACTATTCACGGCACACAAGACTACTACTGGAGACTGGAGAACATATGCATCAGCCAAGTTGTATTGATACCAGTCCGAGAAGCCATATTAATCTCTGTGAAAGAGTGGAACAAACACAACACAACTATAAAAAAAAACACGCTGCGCAGATATATCAAAGGCAGTAGCCAGGCCAGGCCAACTGCCATAGCGCAAGCAACGCTCCAACGCCTGTCGACTCAACATTCAAACATCAATGACCCACGGCACACATCTGCAACAGTGCTTCTTCCGGGATTGCCTGACCCGGCGTTGATACAATACCATTCGGTCCCCTCATGGGCGGAGAAAACTCCATCCGGGGAGTATCGATGCCGCTGTTTGTGTCCCAAGTTTTTTAATTTGAGTCTTGTTTCTTCTACTAGACAACTGCTCAGAGTCTAGACCTTCTGTGCAAGCTGCGAGGGGGGAAGATTTCCTCTGAGGTGTTCCTATAGTTGACTCTGATCTCAAGTCCAGAGATTTTACACTAGACATCAGTAGCCGTCTTCTTTGTTCGGTTCCCCTTGTCCCTGTGTCATTCGTCTTCTCCTCAGGCTGGGATTGCTTTGCGCTAGACACCACTAGACTGGCTGCTTTCTTTGTTTCGTGACTCAATATTGCTTATGGGCTAGGCTCCTCCTTGAGCTGCGGAGAGACCATGTTAGCCATAGATAAAGATGCTTCTTCCTCAGCTCCCTCCAACCTAGTTCCTTTGTTGGATTCCCCGTCTGGCTCTGGTTGTGTCGTCCAGGCCAGCATTGAAAGCGATTCGTTTTCAGGCATCTAGCTTGATGATGCTCCCATATTAGGCTCCTCCTTTGGCTGAGGAGGCTCCAAGCCAGCATTCTGCGCCACGCGCTTCCAAGTTTCCAGTTCTCTATACAGCCGCTCGCATTCTTGCTTGAGCTTGTCGTTGGAAGCACTCAGCTCAGTAATGGCCTGTTCAGTGAGCAGCTTCTCCAGAGTCCACTTTTCAATATTCTGCTGTTCGTTTTCCTTGAGTTGTGAAATAAAGCTGACTGCACGCTGCAGGATTGACCCTTTGTTCTTCTCACAACCTGGAACAATTTTGGCCAACTCATTGATGCCTTCATTGATGGTCTCGCGCCGTCTCCGTTCAACTTTGAAAATGGTTAGCCAGAGACCTAGCTTGAACGATCAGGAACATCTAGGGTGCAGCACTTGCCTTCTTTGTGATTGTCTTTTCGCATCTTATGCCATTCCTCAGAGCCCACAGTAGGTTTGGGAATCGACGTGGCCGATGACGTAGAAAACCGATGAGCCGCAGGCTGACCTCCGTTTTCCGGCGGTTGTTGGGTAACTGCTGAGGGATCCATCATATCTTGCTGGGCAATTTCAGCATCGAATGCCGCATCGGGATTATGTTCGCCCTCGGCGGCTGCCTGAGCCGCAAACTGCTCCTCTGTCGAAGGGGGAACATGAAGAGTAGGATACATGCCAAGTGCAGCCTGGGCCGTGCTAGTAGCATTCGAAGGATCAGACGCATCGGTGTGATCAGCAGCCGCGGCCTGCTGTAAGGCATTGAAGTCGGCGACGTTCACGCCATTTGCCGCAGCGGCGTGGGTTGCCTCAATGGCATTCTCGATGAAAGCAGCGGTTTCGGCTGTCATGGCTGCAGGAGGAGCAGCACGCTTAGCACGCTGGGAACCGGGACTGTCCGGTTCACGCTTTCTCTTAGAGCCCGGAGAGCTGGTGAGACTGGACAGATCAGGCTGTTCAGTAGCGACGGGATCGGACATGCTGTCGAAAAGGCCGACGACGTTGTGGATTGAAGGCTTGGGCCCTTGGAGTATTCAGCGTTGCGGGCTGTGTAAGTCAAAGGCCTTCCAACTGTCGCATAAGAAAAGATTAGCATGTGTTCATCAAGCAGAGATTCATCATGGCGTTCAACATGACGGGGAGGCAGACGGCTCAATTTGAGATGTGATTAGTTGGGCCATCCCTATTGTCAATTACATAGGCAACAACAAGCCTTCGCCTCGTTCCGTCTCAATTCTTGATGAGATGAGAGGCGAAGGACAATCAGCGGCAGTTCGGATCAAAGAGTGCCGAAGAAGAAGAAAAAGAAATGGATGGATGAAGCGCTTGCTTCACAGGAATGAATTTTCCATGTCGTTTGCTGCTGTTATGACGCCAAACGCGGCATGGATTGAGAGGAAGGGTGGGTGTCATATGAGATGTAGTCTTACGCAACGAACGGTCCTCAGATTGTGATGGGTAAGGAGTCAAACTTCCTGTTCCTCACAACTGCAGTGACGATGTGTTGCGACGACACGGGACAACGATCCGCATCGTTGCACATCGTCGAAGGGTTGTCAATACGTCGCAGCGGTTACCAGCTGCATCTCCGTCATCTCACGATGCGTGTAAGTCGTCACTAGACGCTTTGGCGCGACGGTGAGACGGAATTTATGGCAAAGGGGGGATGGTGGCGACAGTGAGTAGAAATCCCTCGCAACGTCTCTGCCTCGTCAAAACGACTCAGAGGACCAAGATTTCCATCAAAAACACCAAGAAACCCATCAAATTGACTTCGGGAACAGGGACGAACAGGCGCATAGAACAGACATACCTCGCAGATCATGTGCTCTGGAGACTGCCAGATCACGGGTTTTTCGACTCACGTGTTGGGGTCAAAATCTCGTGATATCGCGCCGACCGGGCGTCGAAAATGTAAGTCGCGGCCGACCCGCAACTTGTTTGCACAGACACAAAGCGCAATCGTGCGGCAGGGGAAAATAAAATGCGAACAACCGAAACGCGCGACGGGGTAATACTCTAGGTGAAGCGACAGCTCCAAGACGAGATTCTTATGCTTCTAGTTACAAGGGGCGGTAGTTCAAGTAGGACCAGGTTGTGCAAGTCGCGCCTGGGACCAGAGGATCAGAGACAGCTCAGGAAGGGCGAGGCAAGGCAAGGCAAGGCACGGCCGGGGTGGTGCTTCGAGTCCAGATCTGCCTGGTGTGCTTTGGGTCGCTCGCTCGTTCGCTCGTTCTGACTCGTCTGGCGAGCTGCTTAAAGTGGGTGGGCGAGCGGGCGGCTGGTCGACTTGCTGGGTCACGCGGCGGAGAAGGATGTGGAACACGTGCAGCGGGAGACGCTGAGTGATAAATAGGAGGGCGGCCAGATGGCGCTTCGCCTCAAGTGCTCGACATGCCTGCCTCAGGCAATAAGAACTGTCAGCCAATCATGTGACATAATTTGACACAATGGGAACTGTGCAGCCAATAGGAAATCGTGGCGAATGGGCCATGGCTGCTCGCAACGACTAGACAGAAGAAGAAAGAGCTACTCGTGCCCGCTTGCAACGTCCCGTTGAACCTTGGAGGACAGGAAGCTCTCAGGGCACCTGTTACTTTGGCAAGTGGATTCTCAGATATGGAGTACTTGGACCTGGCACCCAAGCCCTGTGTCTACGCTTGTGTTCCATACCTGGCTGCTCGAGGACGCGCACTAGAAGAGGTACCCCCTCCTCCAGCTCAACCATCCGTCACGGGCAATCACGGCTGTCAAGTGTTTGTTGACCTTGTGTCCAACTTGGTCACATCACAGGACGGCAGCCATGGACAACCCGCTCCTGGACAGAACTCCTGGACAGAAACAGAAATACAATAGTAATTCCATTTCTTGTGTGCTTGCTGGGCTCTCAAATTCCCACTGCACGTGCCACTAATGGGTAAGCGTGACGTGCTGGTCTTTCGTCTTTGACGCGGCAGGCAAATAAGAAAGCAGCCATGTCAATAGACCTCCCATCTTGCTGCCTGTCAGGTACGGCACGGCACTGCCCAATGCCCAATCCGTGCAACCCCCTCGCCCAGTCCGGCCTTGGAGGCTTGCACCTTTCAGCTATCGTGAAGCTTGGCGAGCTAGGGACAGGTCAATGTCGATGCCGCGGCTCGAGATCCAACTCATTCAAGATCCACCCGATGGAGGTTGCTATCAGCACATCACTTGACGGGTGGTAGAGCGCGCTGTGAACCACGCTATTTCCGGCATCGTGTGTGCTACAATCCGATGGTTTGTCCATCCCTTTGAGTGCGGTAAGGTGCAGCTTTTGTATCTGCTCCAGAGCACCCTTGCTAAGTGTTTATACGTGCATCTTGGCTAAAAAACGCTACTATTTAATGTACCAAGAACTAGTTAAAAGGAATACATACCTAGGTACTTTTAAATAAGTGGGTACGCATGTGTCACACTTTAGAGGGCACTAATTAATACTTATTTTACTTTTATACGCGTAGCTTATTAGTATTATTAGCTTCTTTTTTCTTTATTATATACTATTTCTTTAACTATAATTATATTTTAATTAATATTATATTAGTTTAAAGGCGCGTATTACCCTAGAGTTATTAGAGTATATAGAACGTGCTAGATACCCCTTAGTAATAGAGCATTAGAAGTAGTGTAGTTT